TCATGCTGTTGCTTGTGCTAACTTATTTGATGTACTGACACAACTTAATGTAACTCCTAACTTGAAAAATCTCCTGGGGGGAGGCACCTTCCCACTGCCAGTGCAGCTGAGAATTGTTGAAGCTTTGGCCTCATTCCTTCACTCTTCGCACATAATTAAACTCATTTAAAATCTGTGTACTTGTGTATTTTGCTGGGGGGGGCTGGACCTTGGCAAACACTGGGATTCTCATCAGCCATTCTGCCTCACCCTACTACCCCTCTGCCATGGGGCAACACGGATTAGCTTCCAGCTCCAAAAAACATCGAAAGAAGAAGAAGAGTAGTTAGGTGAGTTTTCCAAAGAAAGAATGTAAACTCTTGATATAGCACAAAACAGCGCACGTGGCCTTATTCTTGGAGCGCGTTGCATTTCCTCGATCTTTTCAGTAGAAGTTGAGAACTTCATACCTCCGCGTACCTAAACTTCGTCTAGAAACATCTCTGCTTTAGAATAGAAGTGTTGGCATGCACTGAAGAAATAGGCCCATGCCCCATGGCCTGTTGCCGATTCATGAACTTATCGTGACTTGATTCACAAGGGATCCGGCCTTTGGAACCCGACCTTTCCGTAACTGACGGTTGATTGAGATAGCTAGCTCCTAGCTGCAGGCCTGGACTTATTGCCTGGTCTGTAAGTTGCTAGGCATTTTAAGACAGAACATATGCTCATTGCTGAGTCCTGCATAGCTGATAGCTTCATCTACCTGTAATCTGTATTTTGAGGGCGTTCATAATTGGAGCGTCAATGATGCTAATTGCTAATTCAAGTAATTGCTATCAGGGAGGTTGTTGCTGTTCCAACTTCCACTTCCACATGTCAGTGAGCACTGACTCAAAGCAAGAAGAAATGTTGTCGCATGGAATCGTCATGTCATGGATGTGTTACAATGCAGTTTTTTTTAGTTTATAGCCAAAGCTGTGGCCCCTGGTGTTGGTTCTTGTTTCAAATTCTAGTAATCCTTCTGGGATCTTGTATAAGCCATGACCAATGACCATGAGCATACTTGTATGCTTCAATCAGGTCCCCAGTCCCCACGTTACGCGTAGACAACTAGATGTTGATAACTGAGGCTTGGAAGCTTCATAATCTTTCCTCTGCCTCATAGGACTTGCCTTTCAAGCCCAGAACTATCCTTCTTGTCATCTTGTGCGTCTTTGAACACTCCCTATTAAATTTTTGTCCTTTTAAAATTTTGGTAACCACACTACTTTTCCAAACTCTAGGTTCGGGTGCACGACTGCCACAACAGCAACAAACAACTGCTTCATCAACCATCACTTCTGCATCTAGGAACTCAAAAGAGCTCCTGATCAGTCCAAGTTGTTTATTGGCTTTATAAACTTGACCTTCAATATGCTTTGAAAATTGCAACTCATTGTCAACATTACCTCCTACATTTTTTTCCATTGTTGACTTCGACATCTTCACTCTGTCATTGCAACCATGTCTTCTCTGCTCATACTGTAATCTTGCTGTTCATTATTCTTGCCAAGCCAAGGTATAGGATAGGATAACTTAAGGATAGGATAACAAGGATATCTTTACATTTGTCAGCGTTAAAACGCAGCTGCCACTTATCAGCCCAGTCAACCAGCCTGTCAAGATCACCTTGCAACTGTACTTTTTGCGATGTATTCTTCACTGTATTATAAATTTTTGTGTTGTCAGCATAGATCAAGCTAACGCTATACACAGCTTCTGGCAGATTATTTATAAATGCAATGAATAAAATAGGCCTGAGAATGCTTCCTTGTGGCACGCTGCTGCGCACTGAAGCCCAGTCTGATACAGACCGATTAATGCTGACACATTGTCACCTCCTTACAAGAAAATCTCTGATCCATTCGAGTACATTACTCTCAATTCCCAAAGACTTCAATTTACGCAATAGCCGCTCATGTGGAACACTGTCAAATGCCTTGGCAAAATCAAGGTACCGGTACACTGCATCTACTGGCTCCCTGTTGTCCAGCAGGCGGGTCCATTCGTTCAGAGTAGACAATAGGTTAGTGGTGCAGGATCTCCTGGCAATAAAGCCATGTTGACAGTCTGATAGGAGATTATTAGCAGGCGAATGATCTATCACTCAATCCCTCTCAACAGATTCCATTTTGTCACCTATTTTGAACAATGGTGTCACTTGAGCTTCTTTCCAGTCAGCCGGCAAGATCCCTTTGTTCAAAGTTAGTTGAAAAAATGACATCAGATGGCCAGCTAGGACAGTTGCTAACTCTTTGAGTAATCTGGGGTGGAAGCCATCCATTCCACATGAAAGCGATAAGGCGCTTGAGAACCTCTTCTTCTTGTATTTCAAAACTTGTTAATTTAGAGCCGACTGGGTGCTCCTCAATAGCTGGAATACTGTTCAAGTCCTCTTCAGTGAATACGCTTCTGAAAAAATGATTGAGTACATTAGCCTTGCCCTCATCAGAATATATCTTTTGTTGATCTACTTTAGTCATCATTCATTTTGTCAAGTAACCGTGATGATATGAGAATAGAAACCCTCATAAAATTTACGCACACATCAATCTCCTCTAACAATCCCCACTGCTGTGCCACAACCTCCCTATCTCTCTCCATCCCCATGCTGCAGTACTCCTCCCCAGCCAGGCCCTCTTTGTGGGCTGGCTAACGCTACAAACATCGAGGCACTTCATGCCAGTGTCACTGTTGTAACGAGTAATCTTTTGGTCTGAATTACAGTTGCTGTAGTTTAATATATCTTAATTACCAGTTACAGTTAGAATTTAAACACATTTCTGTAACCTTCTTTTACGTGCCTAAAGCATTAACGTGACCAAGAAAAAATAATTAATAATCTAGCGACAATTTGTCTTTCATGAAGAAATATATACTATTAAAATTAAATATCATTGACATAATTTTGTTATTGAATATGATGCATTGATATATTAGAAATGAGAATATAACTGTTTGAAAATAGTCTACTTGGCCTGAAGCATTGGCTCATTACCAAAAGGGATACCCGCTCATCGGAGGTGGGGGGAGAGGAGAGGGATGTAAGAGATCGGCTCAGCTGCCTAGCACCTTTTGTACTGTGGCATCTCTGACCAAGCCTATGTTGTATTCTATTAATATAATTTATTCACTTTATTTATCACAAGTTGAATAAAATATGTTATTTATTTGAGAGAATGAGTATTCTCTCAGGCCAGACTTGAGATTGTCAGCCCTTGTGCGTCTCGGCAGCAAACTTGTGCAAGCTCCCTCTTGAGTTTGGGCAGTTCTCAATACCCCCCTTAAAATGACTAAATATTTATTTGGCTGATGTGCTGATAAATAATCTGAGTTACTAAATTTACAATTAAAAATTCAACCTTTATCTTAATTGCATCTTAGATTTAATGTAATTGGTAATTCCATATTTGTATTTATTATTACAAATTATAATAATAACATGTCCTTTCATGCAGGGTTTAAAATTCAAAATTATTTTATTTTACTCTATTTATAAAATTGTTTTTAAATTTTGTTCAGCTAAAATTTTAATTCAACATGAACAGATCGCCTTCAAATGAAATTTTTCTCAAGATTGGGACACGAGAAAGCACAGTAAGTTTGTATTGGTTAATATTTGGTAAACCAACTTTTATCAACAAGGATTTTTTAAATACTTTTTTTCTATAATCTGAAATCAAAATCTAGCCTATTTATCTAAAATTTTCTGTGTTGCATCACTTGATTCCAATGTGACGTTAATAACTCCTTTAGGTATTTTATACGTGGTCTGAAATTTTCATCAAGAATCTTGGATATTCATTACCCTGCTGTTAAGTCTGAGTTTAGCATTTGTAAGCAATGTTATACCATTGTATAGACAATGAAAAATGGTCTAGATTCTATTAGGTTAACTTATGCAGCTTGGGTTAGACATTAGCAACATATTGGCACATCAAATTATAAACAAACAGAAACTTCTTTGCCATAGCACATTTGCAAATTACATTCCCAGATGCTAGGTTGTTAGCTATCATAATGTTGTTTAGGTGGCTGGTTGTAAGTACTATGGAACTGATGGAACTGCTGAGAAAACCCATTTGAAGAGAAAGGTTGTAATATTAGGTTTTATATTTTAAAGCAGGAATTGTATTATAGGTTGTAACATTAGATTTCTTTTTTTAAGCAATTATGTCATGTGCCATCATAGTTTGAAATTTTCTCCACTTCATCATGAACATGCAAACAGGACATGAATTTGTACTAATGAAGATTCTTTTGCAGCTGGCAATGCATCAAACCAACCATGTTAGAGACAAGCTTATGGAAATTCATCCTAACCTCAGCTGCTCTATAGGTGAGTAATACTTCAGAAATCCTTCTTGTAAGCTGTTATATGATAAACTTGAAGCATTAAACATATGTGTATATAACCATTCTATGCTACCTGTAATTTTGTATTATATTTGTGAGTACCAGGTGCCTATCTCATACTTTTACAGAACAGTCATGAGTGCAAATTATACTGGATCAATACTAATTGTTGTAATAATTGTGTAATACAGCCTTTTTGTGGTGTGTATTCAACAGATACTGTAATGATCTTTTGTGCCGAGGTTAAATAATGATCTCGAGTTAACACAATTAATTTAATATTAATGAAAAGTGAACACTTAAATTAAGAAATCTTAATTAAGTTAATGCAAACATGGGCATCGTAATAGGGTACAGAACTCTCTTCTTTCATATGCTAGGGCACAGCATAGTAGAGGTTTCTCACAACACAGCAACAAATTATATACATATGTATGCACAACACTGAATCTTCTTGATAGCTTCTTGTGATCTTCTATCCAGGTTGACTTCTCCCTACATGAACAAAATCAAATTTACAATTAGTCGGGTAATTCCTTACTAGATATCTCACATAGTATCAACACACCAAATAAACACAATATTGATGAATATCGAAAGTTACACATACCTCTGCAATTGTCTGAATTCACTAAACTAGTCCTTGCTTTGGTCCCACAACAAGTCTGCTCTGAATTCTTACACTGCTACGGGATCGTCAACCCTTAACTTATTCTACGTCCAACACGTTAGTTACTATTGTTCTTATTCTCCCTCCGTTTCCCACAGTACACCTGAATATTCAGCTAAGATCCCTACAGATACTATTCTATAGATACGTGTATCTAACAGATATGTGTATTCAACAAAATAAATTGTGTATTGGTGAGCATCATGTATGTCAATCTATTACATATCAAACATTTATGTGTCAATATACTTTGAAACTTCAAAAAAGCATTAAAATTTCCTCTTTATTTCATGTGCAGATTCTATGGAAACAATTGGTGATAAAATTTTGGATGTTGCTCTTTCCAAAATTGGCAGCAAAAGCCTTTTTACTAAAGAGTTAGAAGAAGCACTGGCCCAGAAATGCGTCCACATCGTTGTTCATTCTCTAAAGGTAATCACTAACTCTTTATGTGTAATTACAGTTTTAAATATGTGAGAAAACTTATAGCCACATTTTTTTATTCCATGATTTTTGAGTAAGAAATTGTTTTATGAGTTTTCAAGTATTGAAACAACCTGAATTGCTGAACTGTACAATATTATATCACAATTGACTGGTTCAATAAATCATAATCTATACATTTGTTCCAGGACATGCCAACTAGCTTACCTGAGGGCATGGTCATTGGAGCTGTGCTCAAAAGAGAAGACCCCAGAGATGCTGTTCTGCTGCACCCAAGCTACCATGACAAGTGCAACCTCTCTCAGCTGCCTGAAGGATCATTGTTGGGTTCGTGATGTATCTTTGTTAGTGATTCCTCCAGCATATCAAATCTAATTTAAAAAATGTTTTAGTGTTATATGACATCAGAAGGAATGATAATCACATCTCTTAAAATGTTGGCGTCTTGGTTGTCATCTTTTACCCAGTTCAGCCAGCATGTAAATTGCTATACTGGAACTTGATTCTTCATATATTTTTAGCTTATTGCATGTATGATTGCTTGCTACATTCCTTATTGCTTGTATTATTGATAAATTCTTCTCACTTTGTAGCTTCAATTTGAATTCATGTCTGACTAAACCTCTTAGAACCTATGAAATTGCGACCAGCATCTATGACAGCTTTGTGATTGATTACAGTATCTGTTGATACTGAGATGCAATACCAACTTGTCCAGTATTAGCCGTTGATCACATAAGTTTATCATCAGTACCAGTAGGTATTAATATTCCATGTAAGCAAATGAATGTATATGCTATCACCCTGCCAACAATTGGCACAATCATATATATTAATCTCTCATCCTTGCTTTTATTCTAGCTGATGAGATTCTAATCAGAAATCTTTCTTCAAAATACGCTGTTTCATATGTGCCTATGTGATTGTAATGAAATTCTTTAAGAAACACTGTATGACAAAAAATCCGTTTCCTTGGCCTAAGGAGGCTTTAGTTGCAGATGTATAAAGCTGTGTAAAGCAGCAATTTATTCAAGAGTTACTTGTGCTGAGCAGATGTTCAACAACAAACACTGCCTGTTGAGCAGTCAAGGCTAAAAAATTATAGGTATTGAACAACCGCCTGAGTATTATAATGCTGGTTTCCTGTTCTGATTGGTGTATATATACTTGCAGAATTATTCGATAAAATTGAACTTGAATTTCTTTGAACAAATACTGATCAATGGATGCCAAAGCATTTGTGACTACCCTTCATGCTTTGTAGTCCCGTTCATGCAGAAAATATAAATTTGTCTGTGGCTGAAATGTTGTATATTAATTCTGCTCTTACATGATCTGATTCTTTATTGGTTGTACATCATGACAATAAATGTGTGTTATAAGCCCTTGTGAAGTGTAAATGGTTTACGTAGGTTCGAGTTCCGTGCGGAGGGTAGCCCAGTTACGACGCCACTTCCCGCAGCTGCAGTTCGAGAGCATCCGCGGCAACCTCAACACGCGCCTTAAGAAGCTGGTCTCCAGCGACCGGTATGCCGGCATCATCCTTGCGGCCGCGGGCGTGCGACGAATGGGGTGGACTGATAAAATATCTCAGGTTGGTTCTGCGTTTATAATTCATTTTATTACGCTATAACATTCTCTCAGTAGAGCATTGTCTACTGCTGATAAAATATCTCATGTTGGTTCTGTGTTTATAATTCATTTTATTACGCTATAATATTCTCTCAGTAGAGCATTGTCTACTGCTGATAAAATATCTCAAGTTGAGTGATAGGTTTATAATTCTTTTTCGAACGTTTACATATTCACTTTGTAGAGCATTGTTTCGTACTGATGAAATATCACAAGTTGGGAGTTGTGTATTTCATCCTTTTTCAAACGTTTACATATTCTCTTTGTAGGGCTCGGCTTGCGTGGCATGTTTATAATTCTTTTTATTAAGCTGTAATATTCTCTTCGTGGAACATTGTCACCTACTGGCTATAAATAGTTGAACATTTCTGACATAACACATAATCATCTAATTATTGTAATTTTTATTTGCCGGATCTAGCATTAAAATAATGTAAAGTAATTGTCTAGTAATTGTCTCAAATGTAAAATTCCGAGTCTATTGCTACATGTATCTTATATTTGTGTTTGTTTTCTTGTGCTTGCAAACCTTTTAACTGTAAATCATCTTGTGAAACAGTACCTTGAGGCCGAAGATTGCATGTATGCAGTGGGGCAAGGAGCCGTGGCCGTCGAGTGCCTGGCTGAGGACCACCAAACGCTGTCGTTGCTGCAGCGTCTCAGTGATGACAACACATTGCTGGCCACGGTCGCCGAGAGGGCGCTCATGGCCGCGCTCGCGGGCGGCTGTTCAGCCCCTGTCGCTGTTTGGTCTAAGGTAATGCATTGTTTATACAACAAAAGTATACTCTTTTTATGTATTTTTTTAAACTTATGATGAAAACGGAAGCGTGAGCTAACCTTGTGAGTGCGTTAATTCACATTTAATTTTGTTTAAAAGAAGGTCCTCGGTATTTATATCGTTCCTTATCTTTATCCTCGACAAATTGTTCTTCTGGTCTTTTATAAATGAAATGGATGTGTGATACTCAATCGACTAATTTGTTTCGATAACAGTGGAAAATGGTGGCCCAAAGCATTCTCCTATGAAGAAATATTTGTGTGATTCCCATTTTTTTGATGATCTTCAACTTCTCTTGAGCATATAAATTCATCATCGTCTGACCCTTCGATTCCAAAATACATTTTGTTATCACCTTTATTCGGAATCTGAGCTTTCTTAAGCTCATTCAGCTTGCATTTACTCATTTTTTTACATCAGATCGATGCATCGTCTTTAACATTAAAAGGCGGTGTATGGAGTTTGGATGGAAAAGAGCAGCTCATTGAAGACCTCACTACTCAGCTGTGTCCATCTGATCAAGAAAACGTTGTAGATTCTGAAGGCGACTCAGCAAAAACTAGCTCGTCAGTAGACGATTCCGTGGATGCCTCAAGCTTAGTTGATGGAGAAGAGGTATCAAACGGCCACGGCGTAAGTAAGCGTCAAACCAACGCGCCGTGCACGGAAGAGCCTCCCACTAAAGTACGTAGAGTTGAGGACGCAGAAGCCGACTCACGAACATCAATAGTTCAACCTGAAGTGGTGTGCTTCTCTGGCATAGTTCCGCCTCCTCACTTGACGGTAAAAGCTTCATTAGCTCACATGCTTGGCAAGAATTTGGCCGAAGTTCTGCTGAGTAAAGGTGCTGGTAAGATATTATCCGAGGCCAAGAAAGCCAACGAAGTTCCACCACCTAATGTTAAACCGACGAATTTACCTACCGGGCAGTAATACGGTGCAATATGTGTTAATTTATTTGTATTTTAAGAAATTAACTTGTTACTTAATTTAGACTAAGCTAAAAATTGCCTGTTGTTTTTAATTGCGCAATTGCCTTCGACCTTAATTTATTTTTTAATTTCATTATTTGCCACAATGTAACTTTTGTATTATGATTTTGTTGGTTATCTTATTGTAACTTCATTTCGTAGTTTTTATGATTGTTGCCGGGGTAGGTACTTTTTGTGTTGTGATAATTAATGACTGTACTTAATATTTTGATAATCTTGGTTGTCTGACTCATTGTATTTACGTCGGTTGTTATGTGGTAATGATAACTAGGCCATTTCTGTTGGTACTGTTGCTGCTACGGACTATTTGTAAGTGAATATACGTTGAGGGACAGAGTGTTCATGAAGAAATGGGGTTTTAACCATGACTTAGTACGACCACTGATATTTTTTTGCAAATGACAAAACATTTGACCTGCCTTGCTGTTTGTGGTTGTTCACGACTAAAAGTATCTCGTAAGCACTAGCGAAGTTCTCCTTTGAACCTCACCTGATGTCAATATGGTTCTTGTGCCTATTAAAATCGGTACAATTTTTATTTATGGTCGACTGATTCAAGTATTAAAAGGAAGGTATTACGAGTCGCAAATGTTCTAATTTAAAGATGCAGCTACATAATCTTGTGTTGCGAGCAACAGTTCTGTCCGATGAAATATCTCAAATTTAAGTCCCTGCTTAGCATTTTTTTCTTCATTATGAATTTTCGTTATTGATTCTTCATATCACAAGTTCAAATATATTTTTGTAAAAAAAATATCCCAAGTTTTGCGGTGCAGATTGAAGTGTGTGAACTGATGTTGATATCCACGGTTGCTTTCTACTCATACTTTAAGCAAATGATAATTGTAAATTGCCTGCAGAAATCATCGTTGGCTGTGACTTCGCTATGAAATGCGAATATTTCAAAAAATGGATATGGTCTCAAATGTATATATATCGTTGATGTAGAACATAACTTCTTTGCAATTCGTACACTCCCGTGTTGCAATTAAATGAAGGAAGTCGTGCTGACGTGACCTTGGTGTGAATAATATCATGAATTCTTAAAAAGTAATTTCAAGTCAGCAGCGGTCACCCGGACTCGGCATGATGGTGCATTTATTTCACGTAATTATCCAACCCTCTGGGTATGAGGGTATCATTTTAACATTAACTTAATTTCACCGTATTTTCACCAAGATTTTGAAATACTTTGTGTCAACGGACCATGAGAGTTTCAAGGTTGTGCATTTCGTCCGAACTTTCAATGTAGGTAATCAACAGTGTTATTTATCGAGCATTACATCCATACATACTTGTGTTCATGCTCAATTTTAGAATTACGCCTTGTTCAAGTTTGATGAGAAGTCAACAAGGTTCTTTCATTATTACTATGTTCTTGGTTATTTATTCGGTTGACGTTGTGCCTTCTAACAGCTACGTCAATGCGTATTACCTATTTTTTATTATTAAGGTGGGTACTCAGGCAGAACTTTGTTCACGAGTAATAAATATATTTTACAAAAAAGGCTTTACATATTTTGCTTGCACCCACACCCGGTACATGGTGAGCTGTTTGCCTCTGTTAACTTGCAGCCTCCTGTCTACGATGTTCTGCTTCTCCTCAAACCCTGCCTCCGCGAACAGGTCCCGAATTTCTTCTGTAGGCCATATAATGTTAACTCGATTGAAAAGGAAAATTTTCAATTACAACTCATCACTCCAAGAAAGTAATAAATTAAAAATCATTACTGTGTTGCTTATTAAATTTAAAAAATTGAAAAATATATATACATAAAAAATTACTTCAAATTAAAAATCATGAAAAAATTATGGTTGACATCGACAATATTTTTCGTTAATCGGTTCAGACGGAATATGATTTACTATGAACTGTCGCAGCCTGTTGGACTTCGTTTATTACTTCACTACTGCAGGTACAACTTTACCTTGCGTGAAGAAGTAAGATTTAGTGCCATCCCCTCTGACGTAGTAATTATCAGCCAGACATTTGCCCTGCTTGAATCGAAGCTGCGTGAGGTCGTAGCGGCCGTAGTCGCGCAGCAGCAGCGCCCCTCCAGGCTTCAGGTATCTGAACAACGCGCGTGCAACGTGCGCATGTCTGCACAAAATGCACAAGCCCAAATAATTTCCATCAGAAACTTACGATATTTTTCGGTAAAAAGTCAATTTAGATCAATGCATACTTAAATTACGATAGCAAAACGAGGCAAACCGTCTTTAAATGCAGGCTGGACATTACCACCATGGTTCTGATGCATATTATTGCAGACGTGAAAATAGAATCCTGACAGTTTGAGGTAGTGTTTGTCCCGAGAATGCAGCCTTTGAAAAGACAGTTGGAGATTGTATCCTACTAAGTCAGAACGCACGACAAGACGCAGATGCAAGTCTACCCACTTGTTTGGATGCACTGCAGAGAGGACGTAGATGCAAGTCTACCCACTTGTTTGGATGCACTGCAGAGAGAACGTAGGTAGATGCAAGTCTACCCACTTGTTTGGATGCACGGCAGAGAGGACGTAGATGCAAGTCTACCCACTTGTTTGGATGCACTGCAGAGAGGACGTAGATGCAAGTCTACTCACTTGTTTGGATGTACTGCAGAGAGGACGTAGATGCAAGTAATCACATCGAGAGAGCTGTGTGGGAACGGTACTTTCCATTCCTCATCTGTGATGTCCAAAACAAACGCGTGGCACCTGCAAGAAGCATGATTGGCAAAGTATAGGAATGTTAGCTTTATGATCATTTGAAAGGCAACTTCTTTCAAGGATATTTGATATTTGCTAACGTTACCTAGCAACATTCAAACTTGAAGTTTGAGGAATCAATTATTTTGGGACAAACAATTGTCTCTTGGCAGCACACATGCCAGTCACATAAACAGCACATGCGCCTAAACCATCTCATAATCAATGATCTTGTTTCAGTCATTTTTATGTTGTAAACAACATTAACTTACGATATAAAGATAAAAATTTTCTGACACTTGCCTTTTGGGATCATAGTCACTATGTTGCTTAACAATATCAATGGCAGTAGCGGAGAAATCCGCCCCATACACAAATAGCTCTGGCTGCGGGTTAGTCTCCAGCACTGGAAATATTGTGTTGCCAACACCACACCCAACTTCCAGCACTCGAAATGATGATTTCTCTCCAGGATAACCATTCTCTTGTACCGCGCTTGTATTGTCAGGCAAAGAAGATGGCAAGTTCGGTAATTTTTCATCACTTGCTTGTGATCGTATGAACATGTCAGAAGTATCATCAGGCTTTGAAATGATATTGACAGTTGATGAGACTTTACTTATTTCACTATTTCTAAATGATGTTAAATTATCCATTGGTGATTTCCCAATGACCTCCAATAGCTTTGTGACATCAGAAGATTCAGCCAAAATTTCTGTTGAACTTGAAATTCTCTCATTAATTTCACTTGAATCAGCATCGCAAGCAGTAATCTTGGTTGAAGCTAGATTTTCTTCCAAGTGAAGGGCTAACTCAGGAAACTCCGTGAAAAGCCAGTTTCGATTTTTAAAGAACCTGCAAAAAGCAAAAATAAATGAACTGAGTAAAAATGAGCAAGCTCAATACACTGTCTTGCTCGTTTTTTTCTCAATCATTAAAATTGTCAAATGGAAATTAAATAATAATAATAAAAGAGGCAATTCGTGCAATCTAAAAAGTAACATTAATTTTCAATTTTGTTCAAAATACTATCATACTATCATACATACTATCAAATTAAAAATGGCAATTAAAAATAAATTTTGCAAACTGAATTCGATTTAATGCAGATATCCAAAAGCACAGAATCGATTTTTTCTTCATACAAAAACTTCACCAGAACAAAAAATGCTCTTAAAGCAGATTCAACAATAAATTAATTACCTCGCAAATAAAAAAATAAAACTTCTCATTCATAAGTTTTTAACATATTAGCCAACAATAGAATTGTTCCATTTAAACCACAAATTAACACAATACGCACTTGTTTTGATGTTTACTATAAAACTTGTCCCAGTTACTGGCAGCTTCGTCTTCAAGCTCTTGTATCTGGTCAGGTGTAAGCGTCACAGCTGAATTTTTAGCCACAGCCTCTTGTGCACGTTGCTCGTGTTCCTCACTCCACACAACGTTGTCCCTGAGGCATGAATAATCATATATAAATTCCGGCGGCCACTTACAACCAAAGCATTATCCAGGCTTCATAATCATATATACAACAACACAATTTTGGCCACTTCTTTTAAGGAATACAACATTTTGTCACAAGATACAACAATATACTATACATAACTTCAGCATCATATCAAGATGACAAAACAAAACCAAACATTGTCTCTAAAGACCATGGCTTTAATTTGCACATTGAGTTCTACATTGTATAAAATAGGAATTAAATGTGTGAATTGATACATGAAATGGAATGCTATAGTATCTAATTGAAAACTTTGAGCATAGTTTTATACTATTTTCATAACAATCTCAAATATTTACTACAATATCCAAGTAATGAAATATCTGATTACAAAAAATATTCAGTTTTTAAATATCATTGATAACACTTTAGTTCTGATTAGAATTATATGCTTTTCAGGGGAAGGCAGCAAATTGAGTGCAGTGTTAACAGTGACAACTTTTGTATTATTAATGGTAGGTAAACGTGTAAATAAATTTTGAAGAAAAAATGTAGGAAATATATACCTAGACTATAGTCCTCTTCTAAAAAGGTTTTCTTTTGCTTTCTGATACATCCCTGTATATGAGGACTAATATGAAAAATATGCGTTTAAAAATTACTTTTTAGAGACAACACTTCTGAAGAATCCAGTGTCTTGGATGTTAAACTTGTACAATGAATTTCTAATTTTATTTTCAAATATTAAAAAAAGTATTTTTTAAAATTTTTTGAAGATATCAAAATTTTGTACATTTTCAAAATTATTTATTCTGTCAACTGATTCATATATGGTCTCTGATTTTATGCAATTGTGCAAAATTTCAGATCGATTGGACAGGTCAAATTGTGTCAAATATGGATTATAAGATTTGTAGCAGACGAAATTATTTTAATTTTTTTTTTAATAATGAAAAAAAATTTAATTTATAAAATTATTTATTCTATCAATTGCATTGTCTCCAACTTTACGCAAGTGTGCAAAATTTCAGATCGATTGGACAGGTAGAAGTGTGTCAAATATTGATAATAAGATTTGTAGCTGACAAAATTATTTTTAATTTTTTTTAATATTGAAAAAAAAATTACTTTTTAAAATCATTTATTCTGTCAATTGATTCATGCATTGTCTCCAACTTTATGCAAGTGCGCTGAATTTCAGATCGATTGGATAGGTAGAAGTGTGTTAAATATTGATTATATATAAGATTTGTAGCAGACAGACAAACAAACAAACAAAAAGAAGTGAAGTTAAAGAGAAGTGTTGTAAAAAGGACTAAATGATGATTGAAAAGTAAATAAAGAATTACCAGGCATTGTGTTGAAAGACATCTTCTGGGTTGACTAGTTTGCGCCCACCAAACTGAGGCCGACTGGACTCTTTTCCTGCCTCTGCAGACATTTTTCTGAAATAATAATAAATGAATACAAAATGCATATTATGAATTAATCTTGTCAGATTGCATAAATTTACTACCTATTATATAACTGCAACAAGTGGAGGTTCAGGTGCACTGGAGCAGTTGTAGCATGAGCACCTAGTGAGGGTCTGAGAGACTGAGGGAAATTTCTATTCTCTTAAGTCTGTGACTGGATTTTTTGACCTGTGGTTTTATGGATTAGCAAGCCCTAAGCCAAAGCCATGATTCCATTCTATATAACAGTCATGAAGAGCCATTTATGAGCCACAAACTCATTTACAAAGTCCTGTGCACGTGTTGACACAAATATCTAATTTTACCCTAGAAACAGCAACAAGAACATTTGTCTTTACTTTAAACTTAAAGGCAACTAAACACGTAATTATGCAGTCTGATGTGACTGCAACTATGCAATCTCCAAGAAAACATTTAGGGTTGACTCATGTAGAATATTGTAGCAGGAGCGTAGTGCGTAGTATAGTACTAAATACTGCTGAAGTTAAAAATTTTGTAAAATTACATTGTGAACTGCTGACATCTTTAATCAAACAAAAATGTATTAAATTAGAGCTGCAATATTTGTGAAAAATTAGGACTTTCTCAACTAGTGTATCCATGCAATACATTGCAATAGTAGTACAAACTTTCTAAAAATTCACATTTTGTTAATTTCTACTTCCAAAAGCAGCTGCAGATGTCCAAGTCAAAGATATAACTTGTAATTAACAAATTTTTTGATATAACAATTAGATCAGTTATCACTATGGAATTGCTTAAATAAAACAAGTTAACAATGTCATTAATCATCATCTTCAAATCAATAACAATTAATAAGACTAAAAATTCATCTGTGATTAAAATATATATTCAAATATCAAAAGTTAATAGCAAATCTTAAACTTTCAAGGTTAAAACATTACATATAGATACTCCCTCAGTCCCTCTAAGGCTTTTAAATTAGACAATGAAAATTAAGCCATTCACAACTCAGAAGACAGAAGTCATAACTTCAGAGTTCAGAAGGCTAAGTAGTGAGTAAGTACCTAAGTTAGGAACTTGTAGCTGTAGGCGACATCTTGTATATTCCATGGTCAGGAAGATGTGCCAGGTGCGCAGGAATTTTTTTTGTCATTGTAACGACCTGCGCGGTGCGCCGTACAATGCTGGCAAAAAAAATGCGCCGTGCGCCGTACTTTAGAAAGTCGACAATATACGCGAGTATATTGACTACGCGAGTCGAACTGTCAATAATAAAATGTAAGACATGTCCGGGTTACTTCTGACTCTTCCGCGTTCCGCTTGCGGATACGGAACGTACGGTAATCGTACGGGATAGCGCGAACTGCAGAAGTCAAGATTAAAGAACCACACCGCAAATCATTCATTCACTAATAAGTGCTAATTGCATCAAAAACACAGGCACCGGAAGAAATCTATCTTAATTATAAATTTTCATTTTTATTGCAACGATGAAGGTTAATTATAGAGGCGAACANATTCATATAACTCAGGAATGAAGGCGAATTTTGAAAAATTGTCACGAGCTAAACATCACCGTTAGGCTCTAATGATTATGTGTACCAAGTTTCATCAAGCTACGTTCAGTATTTTGCGAGATATTCCACGCTCACTGAATTTGGAATCACGGCCGCGAGACCGGCCGTGAGAGAGGCCGCGTTTTTGTCCGAGACGTCCTTCTCCATACCTCCAGGCTCCAACATCCGAAAAGTATACTCAGGGATACCGATATCAATTAGCATTTTCTTGTCATGCGATCAGCAATAGGAATATTATTACCAAAGTAATCTATTTACGGACCTGAAATGCAGCAAATTTGCAACAACAATTGCAAATTGAGGTCTACAAATGAACAATGATAATTTGTTTGTGCATATGACGGCTGAAGCAATCGACATCTCAGCGGAAAGGAAGCGCGCTGCCGGTTCAAACAAGCTCCAACTCGTAATGACCAATGACCCCAACCCAATTAGCATTAAATATTATTCAATTTTGCACCTAATCCCTAATTAGCACTACCGATTTGCGATCGCCTGTGCCAAACTTGCATGACTAGTTGCATGCAGTAAATAAATTTTTGGGCCATTTTGATAAGGTCAATTTTTTTAAATGTTCTCAAAGGTGACACAAAAAACAATGTGTTGATCTACAATATTTACATTTTGTGCCTGGAGTGACGTCACTCAAGAGATGCGCAGAACGGCGAAAAAGCATCATCGCCGTGGGTCAACCTTATATTTGTTAACCCATGACTTTACCTAACTCAACCTAATTTTTTGAAGGTTTTGTCATCGAAAATGAACAATCTTTAATGATTCCTGTCGCAGCGTATTGATAATAAATAATCATATTCTGAATGGCAGGAAGATCATTTTAGAATTGCGAGACTTCTGTGCCTTTCGGTTGCGCAAAAGTGGACGACTTAGCGGATGAATTCTGAATAGTGTCGACGCGGTCTCTCATACCTGGAGACAACGCTCAATCTGATAATGCACAGCTACACTTAGCCTCAGAGCTACTAAGTCGTAGGCAACCCTTGAAACACAGCGGGAGCGCAAAGCTGTTCCGCACTGCTAAAAACCTTAACGCCGAAAGTGTGCAGCTAATGCTCAAATCAGTCTCGTCTCCAAGGATAACTCACCTACTTAGGTTGCCCTGACAAGTATCGCCTTCGATTTTCCAATTTTTTGGTGATGAAGATAACACGACCATGGTTGAAATAATACAAGGTTGACCTGCGCAGCTGCTCCTTGCGGATGTCCTCTATTATCCCACTGTGATTGTCACCTTGATCGTTGCGACGTAACCGTATTATTGAAACTGATTTGTAACACCTTTTTTGCTTAGAATAAGACTAGTTGCAGTAAATGAACTTTTTTGGGTCATTTCAATAAGGTCATTCTTTTCATGGTTGAACTGATACAAGGTTTTCCCTAGTGCAGCTGCGCCTTGCGGATTGAATGGAATAGAATAAAAGTGTCGGCACTGAAGAAATAGGCCCATGGCCTGTTGCCGATAATTGTACTTTTCGTGACTTGATTCACAAGGGATCCGGCCTTTGGAACCCGATCTTCCCATAACTGACGATTGATTGAGATAGCTGCTGTACTTATTGCCTGGTCCGTAAGGTGCTAGGCATTTTAAGACAGAATATATGCTCCTGCATAGCTTCATCTAGACTCCAGTCTATTCTTGAATGCGTTCATACTCGGAGCGTCAACGATGCTACAGGGAGGCTGTTCCACATATCGATGCCTCAAAGCGAGAAGAAATGCTGTCGTATGGGTGTGTTTTAACGCAGTTTTTTAGTTTATAGCCGTGGCCCTGGTTTGGTCCTTGTTTCAAATTCTGGTAATCATTCTGGGACCTTGTATAAACCGTGGATATACTTATATACTTCAATGAGGTCACCACGCAGAGTACCAAGATTGTAGCAGAGAGGTGCGGGTTCGATCCCCAGCTCTGTGCGCCAGTTTCTGGTCAGAATCGGCAAGGAGGCCGGGCGGTTAATTAAGCAAAGTTTTTTTGAAGCAGTGAGTTGCGAGTTCAAGCCCGCAACAAGTTGTGGATGTTCAGCGATGTTAAGAATCGGCAAAAGGCCTACGCCCACCACAACAGCGCCTACTTCACGACGGCGCTGTTGTGGTGGGCGCTTTGTGTCAAAAGCCGTGAAGATGCCCGGCTGCGTTACGCTCCGGAAAGTATATGAATCGCACTGTGGACTTGGACTATGCTGACCTCTAGCCATCCACCCAACCGGTGGAGCCCACCCAAGATGTACCAGTTGAAGATGTACTAATGAGGAACTACATGATATTTGCTTAAAACTAATCCCAAATTTCCGCCCAGAAGCGTCGAGGTGGTCGGAAAAGGCGTAGTCAATTCTGCTGCTGTACGTTTTCTGTGTAGCTCGCCTTCAGGCTCAGGCCTCAGTTTCTAATCGCAAACTCATAACGTCGTCTAATTTGTAATAAACTTATTTCTATATTAGCAGTCGACGATTATAAATGAAATATATACATCCTGTCTCTTATACACATCTAGATGTGTATAAGAGACAGGCACTGCAGAGAGGACGTAGATGCAAGTCTACCCACTTGTTTGGATGCACTGCAGAGAGGAAGTAGATGCAAGTCTACCCACTTGTTTAGACGCACGGCAGAGAGGACGTAGATGCAAGTCTACCCACTTGTTTGGATGCACTGCAGAGAGGAAGTAGATGCAAGTCTACCCACTTGTTTGGATGCACTGCAGAGAGGAAGTAGATGCAAGTCTACCCACTTGTTTAGATGCACGGCAGAGAGGACGTAGATGCAAGTCTACCCACTTGTTTGGATGCACTGCAGAAAGGAAGTAGATGCAAGTCTACTTACTTGTTTGGATACACGGCAGAGAGGAAGTAGATGCAAGTCTGCCCACTTGTTTGGAGCACGGCAGAGAGGAAGTAGATGCAAGTCTACTCACTTGTTTGGATGCACTGCAGAGAAGAGGTAGATGCAAGTCTACTCACTTGTTTGGATGCACTGCAGAGAGGACGACATTTACCCTGGTTGTAATACAACTTGTATTATTGTATTATTGGGAATTTTTGTCTAATTCACTCACTAGTGGCTTCTACCTTATTTTTCAGTTACTAGTGGTAATTGTAATATAATTCTTGCTCCATTCAACCATTATAACTTTGAAAGTTTGATTAAACATGGTTAGATAGGTAACTTAGATTGAAGTTGAAAATACAATGGGGCAGCGCTGGGCGACATCCAAGACACTCGGCTCTGAACGATGTGATCAGGAGGGCTCTTCAGAGCGCTGGCGTCCCTTCATGCCTTGAACCCGTTGACCCGGAAAACCCGTTTGCCTGTCGCCATTCATCAGATGGATTCATTTTCCGTATTATGACGGATTTCATGAAATATCATGTGTGCCGATTTGAGGAAAAGTAAGCCCATTGTCTAGTATAGTTACGATTTGTTCCTAAGAACTTGGTAAAATGAAAAGGCGAGCGTTCTTTTTTAACACGTTGACTACGATTGCTTCATCTTGTTCTATTATTTCATTTTTAGTACCGTTTTTAAACAGTTTTGCCAGACGGTCATTTTTTCCGGACAAATTTTGTGATTTAGTTTTTCTCAATTGCGTTGGCCGGCTAAAATTTATGATAGGGGTACTTCCTAATTAAATTTTAGATACTGCAAAAAGAAAATAGATGGAATTTTTATAGCAGACATATAAACTAGTATATATTGAGTTATCGGCCTTTTTTTGGCCTTTTTTGTTCTCGGATTCGGCCGATTTTAGGCAACCTTAATTATGTATCACTACGTCCTGGAGAAATACATTTCGTCGTACGCATATGTACCACTTCGTAGTCAACGTGTCAAGTGTTATAATAGAAAAATTGTTTATACATCGCATATAAGAGCATGAAGCATGATTGTGTTTTAATCAAGCAAACGGCTAAAATGTGTTTTGATTTAGTCTTCTGAATTTAAACATTTTTTATTTTTACTATTGAATCTGTTGCTACATGAATTCGATTTGAATGCAACGTTTATTTAGAGCAATGCTAATGTATATAACACTGCCCCACAAGGCTGCTCAATGAATGGTAGCTGCTGGAAATTGTGCCTGATTCTTGTGATCGTGTTGGAGCTGATGTTTCAGACTCCATTTCACCTGTTGTCTTATTTCTCTCGCTAAACGTTGTACGGCGGTGCATCGAGTGCTGCGCATGGAACTACTATAGAAATCATTGAACTGGTTGGTTGTCACGTTCGTTCGTCTTGCAATTTTCTTTAGCTAAGACTTGGCGATATTTGTTTATTTGTTTATTTCAGTATTATTTGTTCTCATTGCTAGCACAATTTCCACTATTACTGTGTTTTATACGCATACACTTCGAAAGTATAGATTCACAAATAGTTGAAGAAATGGGTTAATGAAATTATTTCTCATGTTGTTATTTGTGTATGTAAAAGAAAAGGCTATCCAGAAGCCTGACGCACGTCGATCGCAAACGTTGCCAAACGGCTACGTTGCGTCTACTAACTTCTTCCAATAGCGTCACGCAGTCCGCTAACGTTTAGTGTTGTACACATGCATCGCATGTATCGGCAGTGAGCGCATTCTACCAAATGGATACTTTTCGTTTACTAACCTCAATCGCATTACTTTAAGCCAAAAGTCCTGTTAGTTTGAAGACCACGCCGCCGCGTATAGGCATGGGCCCTGTCTCTTATACACATCTAGATGTGTATAAGAGACAGCATCACACTCGAAGATCGTTCAGCGTTACTTGAAATCTACAGACGATGTTGCCATTCCATTCAGATGAAAACTGTGTCTAAATCAGAACCGTGTCGGACGGCTCCGCGGCCCGCGCCGAGTGCTACGCCACGTGGAATCGATGACCGTGATTTACGCGAACGCGTGCGCGAACGAAATATAAAAAGCTATATATACGCGAGAAAATTCCCCGTTTATATACATCTTCCTGAGTGTGG